ACCTGACTGAATGGGTGTTTTTCCAACAAAACAGGCTCCAGGTTGTTTAGATGAGACTTCAGTGAGCATTTTGCAGCCCTGGTTCACTGGAAATCAACTTTAGATGTGTCATCCCACAATTTAGATGTATAATCCCACAAATGCCACAGTGCTGCTGCCAGATCTCAGCAGAGGTGGGATGAGCATGCTCCACAGTGCCCACCAGAGCTTCTTGCTCCCACAGTCATGCTGGGAATGCCACAGGGCTTGCGTGGAGGATCCTATCACTGTGGTGGGGGATCAGAGACATCACATGGTTTCCCCATGCACTACAGATCTGTTCCTTGCAGTACATTTTCTAATCCTCTTGCCATTCTGGCTACAAAGGTCTTGAAAAAGCTTCTCTTAAGAGTGATTTTGCATCACTTAATAATTCTCACCGTTAGGAGTTTCTCAGACTGTGATTTAGTTTGTAATGTGGTAGCCACAGAGAAAGCCACAGACCCAGCACTAGAAAAGATGTAATAATTTTAGATTTGGAGGTCCTATAAAATTCAGCTATCAAAAGCAACTGGTGGGGCTCAGGTTGGATGGGAGTTTGATCAGTCTGGTATAGTGGAAGGTGTCCCTGCTTGTAGCAGGGGTGTTGGAACTGGATGAGCTTCAAGGTCCCTTGAACACAAACCATTCTGTGATTTTGTGCCCTTTGTGTGTCCCTCACCTGGGGGCATATTGCTGTGTCCTGGTGTTGTCATACCCAGTGTGCCCATCTCCTGTGATCACGCACATCTTTCTCCATCAGTGTCTGATGAGGAGGAAATGGCAGCTATCACGGCAAGCAACACAGCCATGTGTCTGCATTTTTCCTACCCTGATGCGGGGGATATTGGTTCATTCATTAATGTAACTATCTTGGCTGTTCTGTGGTGCTTTTCTTTCTTATTAATAAAAATGATGCAAAATGAGGGGAAAGCAATTTTATTTTAGGGAAAAAATGAAATGGCATCACCAGTGATTGAATGCAGCCTGGTGGAATGTGATGGGGCTGTCTGCCACCCACCAGCCATGAGGAAACCAACAGTAACTGGGGAGAAAAGCTGAAGTACTTTATTTTACTTTATTTTGTATACACAGTGTTTGGACTTTCTGTCTCCATGCACTGTTTTGAGGGGATTTGCCTAAATCTGTTTGTTTGGTTTAGAAAAAAATATGTAGCCAAATGTTTTGTTTGTATCCACTGACACGTTTCAGTCAACTGCAAATGTCTTTTTTGGGCATGCAGGTTTTTGTTTTGCCTGGAAAACAAACTGGAAGGAAGAAAGCAACTTGAATTTCTTCTACCACCAGCTGGGGAGACACCTCCCTGTAGTGGATCCAAAACACAGAGGCATACACATAATATCTGGGATGCAAATACTCCCACTGAACCAATTCACAGGTTGGAAATTGAGCTGGTGTTTAAGTGCCTTGGTGGATTGAGGCTTTAGGGAAAACAGACAGCACTAAGGAGCAAAAATGATCAATTAAAGAACTCTTAATGAATCAGAATACCAGCGAGTTGGAAGGGCCAGAAGCTGAAAGGCAGATTAGAGAAGGTGTGAAATCACCTGTTCAGTGTTTCTCACTAGGTGGTAGCCACTGCTCTGTGCTGCTTGTATTTCACTGTGTTTTCTTGGTAAAGCTGAAAAGAAGGAAACTACTTGAGACACCATTGCCAATCCTGTTAACTTCTGTTACACAAACAGTAGAGAGAATCCATATGTTTGTTTATGTTCCATGCACAGAATATAAAAGAAATTGGTCTTTCTGGGACAAGTTCCTGTCTTTTAAATTGATTTTAGTTACCTCAAACTTTGGAAATACTAATTTGTTTTCTGATGCAGTTGATGGATTTAGCTATAAAGCCTCGTGCTGTTTAAGAACATAATGTGTGTAGTAAAGGTGACTAACCCCTGAGAATGTCTCCACTGATGCCAGGTGGCACATATGCTGTCATAAAAACTTTTTCTTCTTTTTTTCATGGTGATCACAAGAGCTTCTCTTGGGTAGAAGATCATTTTAGGCTCATTCATTACCTGCTGTGCTGGTCTCTGCATCTATGGTACACTATCTCTGTGCTGAGCATTGGACTACAGTCCTGCACACTTCTTGATACACCAGATTGCCTGTTGTGGGTATACAGATCATCTTCTGCCTGCATCCTGGAACATTCTGACACAGAGATAAAAATCACTCTGAAAGGCAGCTGAACTTTTTGGGATATGGTTGGTGATAGCTGATATTAGGCTGTATATGTATCATTGTCCTGGGTTCAGCAGTAGCAGTCTTTTTTCTCCTTCTTAGTAGCTGGTGCAGTGCTGTGGTTTTGACTTTTGGCCTGGGAACAGCGCTGGTAACACCGATGGTTTTAGTTGCTGCTTAGTAATATTTAGTCTCACCAAGGGCTTTGTGAGTCTCATGCTCTGCCAAGGAGGAGGAGAAGCCGGGAGGAAGCAGAGACAGGACACCTGACCCAAACTGACCAAAGAGGTATTCCATACCACAGCATGTCATGCCCAGGATGTAAAACTGGGGGCAGTTACCCGGAAGGGCTAGATCACTGCTCAGGTCAGGCTGGGTATCGGTCAGCGGGTGGTGAGCGGTTGCATTCTCTTCCCTTGTTATTTCCCTTATCATTATTATTATTGTTGGCAGCAGCAGTGGTTTGTGTTATACCTTAGTTACTGGACTGCTCTTATTACAACCCGTGGGAGTTACATTCTTTTGATTCTCCTCCCCATCCCTCCGGGAGCAGGGGACTAAGAGGGGGGGAGTGAGTGAGGGCTGAGTGGCTGAGTTACTGGTTGGGCTTAAAACATGACAATCATCAAGAGAAATTCCTGACAATTGATATTTGTAGTAAAGCTGTCACTCCTTGTGGCAGAAAAGAAAGAAACTGACTGGCAGATCATTCTCTGTTCTTAGGACTAAATTCAGAATCTAGCATTAATCAGAGGTGTGACAGTGCTGGAGTTTTACAGCATCGCTGCAAACTTTCGTCTTCATTTTCAGTTTTCTTGAAAGTCAGTCTTTGTCCAAAACCAACATTTCAGGCCTAGGGCTACTGAAGACCATCTTTAAGCTCTCCTTGTGATTTTGAGCAATACATCATGAGAGCAATGAGGTTCAGATGATACATTGCACCAATACATCACAAGAGCACTTGCACTTTCATGCTGTATTAGTATAATACACTATCAGAACACGATCACTGATTACTCAAAAAAAACAGGTTTTGACCCTCAAGAACCATCCTCATCTCTAGGCTGAATCTGAAAACTGTTGATAATGATAAGAATAAGCAATCGCATCTTTGGTTTCTCTAGGGTAAGCTGAGAGAAAAGAGTGGTATTTGGGAAATTTCATTAGCTGAAACATCCTTGTGATTTCATTTTCTTCGCTGAGCAAATGTTTTTATGGATTGAAGTTAACACGATAAAGGTGTGTTTGAATTTTCTTACAAATAACCTAAGAATTTTTTATTTCTTTGGGATTTCATTATAGACTTGCACCCTGTTTTGAGAACGTTGCAATGAGGGGCATGAATTTTAGCTGATTTCTACCTCATCAAGTTGAGGCAGGTGCAAGCTGTTTAAATTCTCTGTAAATCATTTGGTGCTCTTTCTGATTCAGTCTTCTGTGGTTTTCTTTTGAAGGATTTGGACACCATCTAAAATGATCTGGAGGTGCATAAATGCAATCTGTCAGATCATTTGCTGCCTCTCCTCTATGAGGTGTTGTCTGTGAGGGTTTTTTTCCCTGAAGAATTATTCTCAGTTGGGTTTTGTTGTTTTTTTATTCTCAGAAGAGAGTGAAAGAGACCTGGGAAAAGATAAAAGAACACTTTGCAATGTTCTAGCTGAACTTTCTGCTGAGAAGTAGGTAGCTGAGCATTTGATTTCCTGGTACAGTTTGAGTATTGAAAAACTTGAGTTATCCTTCCTATATGGTATGAAGAGACTGTCATCATCTCTTAACAGAAAAAAAAAAGTAGCAGTAGTAATAATACAACATCAAGCTGGTAAGGTGGCAAGTCATATATTTGCTTTCTTGTCCATGTTTTTGTTCTTTTTCCACGTATCTCATCAACATCTGTGGCAAAATTGTCCCTCACCTCCCTCCAATACTTGGTATTATTTTACAGTCCTCAGCTCTGCTACCCCCTGAGCAATGGCGCTGCCATCAGGAGAGTGACACTTATGCTTCAAGCTTTGCAAAACTGGGCTCATAACTCTTGTGCCTCACGTGTTTGGGACCACTTGGTGCACTGGCACCCATGACCCTGCAGCATGTGCCCCCAGCATTCTCCTCGTACCACAGGGTGTTTCAGTCTATTGTTACAACCTAGTTGATTCTATGATTCTATTCTAGCTATAAGCTCCTAGAAGGTAAAGCAAAGCATTAAGGTGGTTTTAACCTTGCTAAAGACATTGCATTAGCCATACTGTACACCCTGGTGAGTGTTCTTTTCTGACAGCCTTTCTACCTGCGTGGTCTCTGTTGTGTCCCATCAGTTCCTCTGTCCTCAGCTTGTGCAGCACGGCACTGAGCCTAGGAATGCCCACACAGACCCTCTGCCCACAACTGCTACAGCCATGTCCCACCGCTGGCACCTTCTTAGTCTTGTCAGTTCTGAAGTCATAACACACAGCTCCAAGGTACATTGTAATTTCAAAGCTGTGGCTAAATACGTTTCCGACTGACAACTATGAATCATTCCACAAAGCCCCTAAATGTCCAGGCATTTCATGCTGAAGCCCATATAATACAGCAGAGCTGCTCTCTCATATTTTTCTGTTTTTCATCTTTTATATTCTCCAAAGAGCTGAGATACAGTTATGGAACAGTTTAATGTATTTCCCTCTGAAAATAATGCTGTGGGAGCCTGTGCGTGGTTACTTGTGTGTTGACAGTAATGCTGACAATCCAGAAAAGAAAGTCAGGATGTTGATAATCACCATTATTTTGTTTCACGTTTTCAGCATGTTCATGTCCATGTGCTTCCAAGGAGGAGCGGAGACTTCAGCAGGAATGACGATGTCTACGAGGAGGTAAGGACTTTATTCCATTTCTTGTTCTGAGTTGATTTTTGATTTTAGAAAATCACCTTAATGATACAGGCCCAGCCTTGAGTGTTGGTAGTTAACAGGATCTTTACTGGTGGCAAAGATGCTGTGATAGTACCAAAACCTATACTGAGATTTCCTTGTGAACTCCAGCTCAAGCTGTGGCACACGGGTTCACACGGGGTCCCCAAGAAGGATGCAGTCAACATCTTTGGTACTTCAGTCTGTCACTGCACACAGAGTGAGGTGACATCTCTACCAATAGTTGTGTTCTCCTAATTTGAGGGCACAAGGAAGAAGGGTGACTGCACGGTTAGCTTGGCATGCAGGGAACATGTCCTACCCCGGCTGTTAGCCTGGGGTGCCAAACCTCCCCCTTTAACATGGGAGAAGATGGGCAGCTTGTTATAACTCAATCACAAATTGCCTTCTGGCCTGATTTTTTTAGGGCTCTGCTCAGGCTCTGGATGAATCACTTTGTAGCCCCAAAGATGAAAATTAAAGTGCGACTCTGCATATGTGATAAACACCTGTGTGCAGATTGTATGGCAGAGCTGGGCACATAAGCTGTTCCAGCATGACTCAATTACTGGCTTTTGTTTAAATGAACAATTGTACTGACATTAACAAAAAGTTTTCCCCAGCTTGACAGCTGTCACAGTGAGTTAATGAAAGAATCCCACTATTGTTGGATGCACTGATAGTTCTTAGTGGGCTTGGTAGGGTTCTCCATCTCAAATATGACATCTCCTTCTCTTTCTGAAAATCATTAATATAAACTTGTTCAGTGATACTGCAAAACCATCTGCTTGAAGGAAAATTAATGACATTTTCTGCTTTTGTATTTTATCCTTTGTGATATATACATGATGACAACTCCCTACTCGCAAAAGAACTGTAGTTCTACTAGTAAAGCTGTAAATATGCATAAGTGGTGAAAAACTTTATTATTGACCCGTTTCATGAAGCATAGAGACTGAGAACCCCACTAATAAAGGTAAAACCTGATAATGAGAGTGCTGAGCAAGAAGATCACATGAAAATACATGATGGCCATCTTATATGCTGCTGTAGTTGAAAGCAATTAAGTGAGGCAACTTGGAAGTTAACTGGAAAGGGTTTGTCAAGCACTGGGACAGGCTGCCCCAGGGAAGTGGATGCACTCACCATACCTGGAGGTATTTAGAAGATTGTGTAGATGTGGCACTTAAGGACATGGTTTAGTGGTGAACTTGGCAGTGCTGGCTTAACAGTTGGACTCAATGATTTTAATGCTTTTTCCAACCTAACTGATTCTATGATACTATGATTTTTTCCTTTTCAAATGTATAAAATGGTTTTAGATGCTGCACCAACCCGTTTCCATTTTTGTTGTACTTAACAATTCCATTCCTTTCTTTTTTAACACATTTGTCTCTTCCTTGTTATTTGTAAATACAAACAGGAAAAACTGTTAATGAACTAGACTATACATTTAGTGTTGTTAAAAAACAAACAAAAGGGTGACAAATTGGTGAAAACCATTTTTATCTTGTCATTCTCAGTTACAGCAGTTGTAGGTGTTGCTTTTGGCAGACAAAGGAAGCAAAAATATTTAGACAAGGATGTGATAATATAACTTTTAGCAGAAGAATGTATGGCCTCAGTCTAACCAGGTATTCTTGAACACCACAGAACTAACTTACGCTTTTGTACTGACTGCAGCTGAATGAAGATTTAACTTTTCTTAGGATGTCAGGAAAAAGAAATCTATTTGATGATATAAAAAGTTTGGTGCAAAGTTGTATAGCTGGCTGGATTGGAGGATGGAGGGTTCAAGAAGTTCATGCTATCATGAGTGGGTAAACCTATTCTGAAAATGCAAAATGGACAGGTTATTGAAAATACACCTGACTTGGAAAACATTTGGCCCTTCTGTCCCTAAAGCAAAAATCTTTGATATAAGGCATCTCTGTGTTGTACCAGCAGGACATATCCCTTTGTCAAGAAGATATTTGAAAAGATTTAGGAAGATATGTAGATCATGGTGGAGCAACAGGCTGAGAATCTATGAGGGATAGAGAGCCATTAGGTGAGATGTAGGTGCTGGAAAGAGCTTTAAATCCATCGTCCCTGAAATTTGTACTTGGGACAATCCAAAACTTGTTTATAAACCGTGCTTCGTTTGCATGTGTTTGAGTAATAGATGGACTAGTAGGTTAGACAGCAAAGACCACCTTCCAAATTCGTCCCAACAGCCTTTTCTGTGTAGTATATAACATATGGAGGGTGATCAGCCTCCCTTAAACGATTTGTGTTAATTGTAAAGCACACCCAGGCTGAATTTTGCATATTGTGGTGCCTATACAAACTACCACAGCTAAAGACTTTACCGCTATTTGGCTTAATTTTCACATGTCCTTTAATCTCGGCTGTGGTTCAACACATCTGTGGCAAGCCTCTACTATCTGTAAATGCCTTTGAGCTCTCCAGGCTCTGCAGTTGTCATTTGTGTATGCTCAGCAGATTGCTGACAAACCCCATTGCTCTGGGAGTGTTTGACAGTGAAAGGAATGCCCAGATGTCGAGACATCAGTCCTCTTAGGGGATTTCTAGAGTTGAGACGGCTAGGAAATACTTCCAGTCTCTTACTGTGTGCTTCATTTCTCCTATTTGGTTTGGGAGTGACCACTCATCTGACAGAAAAGACAGGTTGATCCCTGCTTAGTCTGTTTCCTGGGCTCTGGTATCTTAAGGCTTTGGGCTATGAAGATCTGACACGGTCTTGTCTAAGCAGGTTTTAAGTATAAAGAGTGTAATTAGAGGTAAGGTATAATTTTAGCACTTGTATTTTAATGAGGTTGCTGATGGACACTAGTGTCTGCTGAATATTTAGAACTTCAGTGCTGGAGCATTAATTGTAGAAAGGATAATAGAGAGGCTGACACCTATTCCACAGGCATTTCTTGGTGGAATATGCCACTTAATATTTTGGGTTTCTGTACCTCAGTGCCTATGAAAGAAGTCACTGTGATTTTTCTAAGACAGAAATCTGCATTGAATGTTCTAGATGTATATCTTCTGCATCTTTGCAGGCCTTTTTCCTGGAGGAGTATTTCGCAGGAAGTGTTAGCTATCCCCACTCTGCGTTCACTGTAATGGAAAGCTAAAGGTATAGTTTTTCAGTCCTTACAATTGTCTACAATTAGTTGAAGCCTAATCCTGCAAGTTTGCACCTCAGAGTTAAATTAGTCCTACCAGGTTTTTATAGGATCAGGCCCTTCATGTTTTACTGTTGCTGGATTACTTATCTGCGTCTTTGGTAGTTCTTATTCATTGATTTACTTTATTTCTTGGTCAGCAGAACTACAGCAGCTAAATATCAGGAAACCTTTTCATTAGAACACCTTTTTATTCATCTATGTTTTCTGTTCAGTTTGAAGTAGATTGATATTTTTGCATTTATTAATCAAGGAACTCAGAGGCCTTCTTATCAAGGAGCTGCTTGCTTTTGAGTAATGAGTTTTCTGCAATTGTAAGGGCATGTCACAGTAACTGATAAGAATTTGGTATGAATGAGGATCTTTACTGTAGAACAGCAGCACTCTGTGTGGGTGCAGTCAGCGCAAGTACCGCAGAGTTGTTGGAGGTCATCATGTCCAAGGCATTCAAGGACATTATCTTGAAATCATAGAATCATAGAATAGCTAGGGTTGGAAAGGACCTTAAGATCATCTAGTTACAACCCCCCTGCCATCGGCAGGGATGCCTCACGCTAAACCATTCCACCCAAGGCTCTGTCCAACCTGGTCTTGAACACCGCCAGGGATGGAGCATTCACAACTTCCCTGGGCAACCCATTCCAGTGCCTCACCACCCTAACTGGAAAGAATTTCCTCCTTATATCCAATCGAAACTTCCCCCATTTAAGTTTTAACCCATTACCCCTTGTCCTATCACTACAGTTCCTAATGAAGAGTCCATCCCCAGCATCCCTGTAGGCCCCCTTCAGATACTGGAAGGCTGCTATAAGGTCTCCACTCAGCCTTCTCTTCTCCAGGCTGAACAGCCCCAACTTTCTCAGCCTGTCTTCATACGGGAGGTGCTCCAGTCCCCTGATCATCGTCGTGGTCCTCCCCTGGACTTGTTCCAACAGTTCCATGTCCTTTTTATGTTGAGGACACCAGAACTGCACACAATATTCCAGGTGAGGTCTCACAAGAGCAGAGTAGAGGGGCAGGATCACCTCCTTTGACCTGCTGGTCACGCTCCTTTTGATGCAGCCCAGGATACGGTTGGCTTTCTGGGCTGCGAGTGCACACTGAAGCCGGCCCATGTTCAATTTCTCATCAACCAACACCCCCAAGTCCTTCTCCGCAGGGCTGCTCTGAATCTCTTCTCTGCCCAACCTGTAGCTGTGCCTGGGATTGCTCTGACCCAGGTGCAGGACCTTGCACTTGGCATGGTGTCCTGGGTTCAGCAGTAGCAGTCATTTTTCCCCTTCTTGGTAGCTGGTGCAGTGCAGTGTTTTGACTTTCAGCTCGGGAACAGAGCTGATAACAAGCGATGTTTTGGTTTGGCCAAGGACTTTGTGAGCCTCATGCTCTGCCAGGGAGGAGGGGGAGCCAGGAGGAAGCAGAGACAGGACACCTGACCCAAGTTAGCCAAAGAGGTATTCCATACCACAGCACGTCATGCCCAGGATGTAACTGGGAGTTAGCCGGAAGGGCTGGGAGACGGCAGGGTTGTAGGAGGTATCGGTCGGAGCTTGGTCGGGCTGGGGGGGCTAGTTATCGGTCGGCTGGTGGTGAGATGATGTATTCTCTTCCCTTGTTATTTCCTTTATCATTATTATCATTGGTGGTAGCAGTAGTGATTTGTGTTATACCTTAGTTACTAAACTGTTCTTATCTCAACCTGTGGGAGTTGCATTCTTTTTGATTCTCCTCTCCGTCCCTCCGAGAGCAGGGGGAGGGCAAGAAAGGGGGGGAAGTGAGCGAACGAGT